GGAACGAAACACACCAGGTCTGTGTGAAAGAAGAATTCTAAATAATATCCAGATCCAGAGGAGGGAATAGTATGAGAGCTTAAATTCTGAAGCCCCAGTTTGAAGAAGACTATGGATGGCTGTGAAAGCCCAAAACTCATTTGCCATGTGTCTGCCATGTGGCTTGAGCCTTTGATGAATTTTCTCTGACTATGGCTCAGAGAGAGGAAAGGCCTCGGTATCCGAAAGAAGGCACATTACTGCAGTTGTTGTGACACCTTGTCATTGATCTCCCTCTTGATCCAATGTATCAATGCCCCAATGTTTAATACTTGATGCTTTGGTTTCAATTGAGATTTTTATCAACTTCATTCTGTCATTGTTGGGTCGTTTCTTTATATGTTGTCTTGACTTTGTATGTTTTTTCGTATATGAAACCTGGGATAGTTAAACTATAGGTGCCAGCCCCTCCCCCCACAAAAAAACTTTCAGGGTTCTCACTATTAAAATACTAATTCTGCCTGCCCCTCCTAAAATTACCTTAACCTACATTTAAAAGTTATGACTCACTACAGGAGTCCTGGTAATACATGGTTAAGAGCTCAGCTGCTTGCTGAAAGGTCAGGGGTTCAAACCTGTGAGTCATTCTGCAGAAAAAAGACCTGATAATCTGCTCCCATAAAGATACTGTCTAGGAAATCCTGAGGCTCTTTGAGGAAATAGGATTTGAACAGAAACCTGACAGAAATCAGGGTGGATCATTCAGAGAGAATCCATATATACTCTCTCCCATTGTTGCTTCCAATTCAAAGCCAAAGAACAGCAAGTGCAAAATTCTTGCGGAAAGAGTTTACTGGAATATTTGAAGCATATTAAGGAATCATTATGTTTGGAATAGGATGAAAAACGCTAAGTATGTTGGGGTATTTCATAACGAACCTCCAGAGCTAATTAAAGAATTTAAAAGTATATGTAAAACATAGTTCCTTGGTGCCACTGAAACTGGTTCTAACTCATAGAGACACTACAGGACATAGCAGAATTATGCCTTTGGGTTTCCAACGCTTTAAACTTTCTGTGAGCAGATATCCTCATCTTTCTCCTAAAGAGTAGGTAGTGGCTTTGAACAGCTGACATGCTCTTCATAGTCCAACACATAACCCACAATGCCACCAGGGCTCCTTTTGCGCATAATCAATGCCAATTAATTATTTTCTGAGGAAAATAATGTAACTAAGTCACAGGGAATGAATAAGTAGAAAATCAGGGATTCAAACACAAGTCTATCTGATGCCAAAACACTTATTCAAAAATTTGCTAGCACTTAATTATGTATACTATTAAATTATCTTACTGTTAACACTTTAGTGCCTGGTTCTCTTCATTCTATTTTCCAAAATTCACACTCAATCATGTCAACTCTGTTTTCCTACAGAAAAATGTTTGTTTCCACCTGCAGATCAATTATTCCTGGCTTGCCATGAACTCAATCATTTCAGCTGTTCTCAAATTTAGTTTTATGCGGAGAAACTAATAAAAACAAATTTTAGTATGAGAAGTTGTATAACTAAAATTAGAGCAAAAAATCATTTAAAAGTGCCTATCTCTACCTTCATGCAACATTCTCTTTGTTATTTTAAATAATGGTGGTGGGGGAAATTGGAATGATCCAAGGGGGCTACAGAAGCAGATACCTATATTAGCCTGGAATAGAAAAGTACAAAGTTGTTCCTTGCCAGGGGCAAGGGGTGGGAGTGGGCTGAGAGCACTGGGGTAATTTATTTTTTCTGAAAGGGGGGGCAGTAGGCCAAATAAGTTTGGCACCCTATAAGCATAGATGGGGAGGCTGAGAGATTGATGACAAAGATCCTGCTTAGGAAGTAACAATCACTAGCTTGTTAAATAACAAGCTAACGTAGTAAGTGTGGGTAATTAGAAGAGAGGGCTGAGAATTTTATAGGATAAATGATGAGCAGAACTTGATTATTGATTGGATGTGGAGGAATTAGTAATATTTCACTGGCTTCTAGCATAGGTCATTTAATTTTTTGGCACAGGGTGCCAAGACAGGAAATAAAAGGCTGGCTCCACCCCACAGAGAAATAAACTCCAGATTCCTTATCTCCCAACATCATGATTTCATCTCACCCTTCTCCTACACCTGATCTTCAGTTTAATACAGGTTGTCACCTACTCACACTAAAACCTCGGAGACAACCTCCCACACAAGCAGATTAATAATTGACTGTTTCTCAAAGGGTGCTCCTCAAAGTAGTTTCTTCAGAATCACCTGTGGACAGTGAAAGAACAGCAGATTTCTTGTCCTCACCCAGACCTCAGGAATCACATTCCTGGGAGAGGAGAATAAATTGTGCATTTCAATGCACTTTCAAGTTTGAAAAGCATTAGCTTAATCTAGCTTAACTACTACTTTGTAATGTATTTTTTAACCCTGTCTTTGCCATACTATTTCTTGCTCAAATTAGTTTCTAATTTTTTGCCTAAACTATAAGGTCCTCTTTCACCTTTTTTAAAAAAACGAATCTTTCTTTCCAATATACATGCAGTGCTTGGGTTACGAACGAGGTACACCTTGAAGCCTTTGAGTGAAATTTGTAGGTGAGTCAGAACAAGTGAATACAGTTATTGTGTAGCCTATTTAGTGAAAGGAAAAGCTCAAGAGGCTTTTCAATGATTTAAAAGCTGCACATGGAGCCAAGGGAAGGTGATTATAATGAAGAATTTGTTGCCAGTAAGAGTAGGTTTGTGCAATCATTTCAAAGTGAGGGCAAATTTATAGAACATTAAAGGCATGTACAAGTCATCTGTAAGTGGCGCATTGGTGACCTGGGGCCGGCCTGTACATTTTCACTTCTGACCCCAGTTTACCCTTCCATGCTTACATATACACATGGCTTAGTTGTCTTTCCAAGCCTTTGTGTTTAGTATTATTGACAGAACCTGGGCGCCCTTCCACAGCTTCTTGAACCTAGTCGAATTTCAGCCAGAATATTCTTGAAAGCCCAGCTTAAATACAGAAACTCATAAAAAGTGTCCCCTAATTACTTCTACTCTACTTCTCTCCTCAACAGACATTACACTTATTCAGATGGTTCCCAAATTATGGACCACTTGTACATAATGTCCCTTTATTCTTCCTATCTGCCCTTTCTGCTTTCTGAGCTTTATTTCTGGACCAGTGCTGCTCTCTTGATCTAGTGTTCGTGAATGCTCTGATGAGTGTGTGTCCCACTACTGTTGCATTGATTCTGACTCATAGAGGTTCTGCAGGACAAAGTAGAACTGACCCCATTAGATTTCCAGCAGAGCAGTTGGTATTTGCAAAGCAAAAACCAATAGGTTAATAGACAAGCCCTTAACCACTGCACTTCCAGGGCTCAGTATCAAATTAATAACCAGCAGTACATGGAAGGATGTTTTCACCCCATTCCATTCAGAGACACCGTGCACCAAATACCTGCCTATGTTCTCTGGATGATAAAGCAGAGTTTAAAAAAAATAAAGATGGTACCATAAAGCTACTGCCCTCAAGTTAATTCTGACTCAGAGGTACTCCATAATGTTTCCGAAACTATCAATTGGGGGGTGGGGGGAAGCAGGCTGTCTCACCTTACTTGGATAGAACGCTGTTGAGTTTTAAGCGCCAACAACGAGCAGCTGAGCATTTTAACCCCCGTGCCACCAGGATCCTTGAAACAACCCAACTCACAATAAAGTTTTCATCACTATCACCTTAACTGGGCTGTATATTCAGCTCTCGAATCGCTACCGAGCCTTGGAGGCTTTTCGTGCATTAAAGTAAGGCTAAGTAAGAACTGTATGCACCTAGTCTGACTTAGCATACAAATCCCTAAAGACTAAGGTAGGAACAGATCTCTCATCCAACCCCCAGGTACTGCCTGTCGTCAACACACACAATTTAAGACTCAGAATCATTTTAACATATGTATGTTGTGGAAACTAAAAGGTCTCATCCCGTGCTTAGCTTCTGGTCATCAGTATGCCTACCATGGTTCTTGCAATGTAGTAGACACCATAAATATTTGCTGATTTTTGAAATTATCATGAACAGGTAAGTAGTTCCCCACCCCTATATTTCACATGAATAAAAAGAAAATAAATGATAAATCAACTCTGAGAAGCAAAATATTCCTTATTCTGGATCTAGACAGTGCTGTATTTGGTGATATCAATGATAATGTTCGTGCCCTGTTCTCTAAATATAGAATGGATAGTCATAAAAGCAAGGTAATTACAAATAGCTTTCAATCACATAACAGGCCACTTTGGTGCCTTAAGTAATAATGTAACATGTAATTATAGCACTGAAACACTCTCCCTTTGAGTATAAAACCTTTAAATGATAGCAACAAATAAAACCTTAAAAGATAGTTTAAGCCAATCACCTCAATTTACCCATTTAATAGTTGAAGCCCAGAAAAATTACAGAACTTGCCCAAAGTTACAGAGCAAATGAATAGTACTCAAAAAGGGCAAGTACCCAGGCCTCCGCACTGCAAGTCAGGGATTGTTCTCTGACACTACATAATCAATGAGACTAACACCAAAATGAGATATTTTAATAATTCATGTTAGCCTAAGCCATCGTGGTCATCCTGAGAAACAGAGTAAGATAGTATTATAAAGAAAACATTTTCATCAGAATCACCAGGTAACATCTAGTGAAAGCATAATTTTTAAAAAGGTAAACATTTCTAAGACAAAATATATAAGCATACTTATTCTACTTCAAAAAATACTTTCCAAAACCACGAGGAAAATTAATGACCATATCTAAATTCTAATCACCTGGACAGACTTAATTCTTATGTTACAGTTTTGATAAAAATATACACTCAAAGAAAAAATCAAACATGATACAAAACATTACAGAAATCAAAAAATTATATACCCCTCCCCCCAAAAAAGCACTCTAGCCAATAATTATTCAATTTCCCCAAGGAACAAATTTACTGCTAATACACATCTTTTGTACTCACCATAACTTTACTTCCAACTATCTGTAAGTAGTTGTCAACGAATGGCGTTTGTGGTGGTTAAAAAAAAAAAACAGCAACAATATTAGCAACCAGAAGCTTTTAACAGAAGTTTAGTGTTTAGTAAATAACTAATCCTATTTATATTTTTGACACTTCAGATCTAGAGGCTAAAACAAGTATATCAGTACTAATTTATAACATATCTTTAAAATGTACAGGGTCTGTGAAATAAGGATTCGCAAGTAAAAGATAATTAGTATTTGAAGATTTTTTTTTAAAACATACTATAATGGGCTCCTCATATAATGTAAATATAAAAAATAAGCAAGATTAGGTGCTATCAGGTAGCAGATGTTTTACCAGCTTTTGGCCCCTTAAACATATTTAAGTATAGATAGGAAATTATTTTTTTCTCTCTCTCCTTGTTATGTCAGATCTACTATTAAGGTTGAAATAATGTATCTTAGAATGTGAACATTACATATAAAGTCATACATTAAGTAAGGGAGTGAACTTTAGATTAAAAACAACAATCAGTTATTTTTACATAAATTTAAGACTTATAATGCTTTTATATTTGGAAACTGAAAATTACAGAGAAGATAGATGGCTTATTATTCTAGTTTTTAAGGTCATCATAGCATTTCTTTCATGAAAGTTTGCTATATAATATGAAGACAAAGAAGCATATTATATCTGAACATACACATAACTCATGAGGAGGAAACAGTTCAAAACTAGCAATGTCAATTGAGCTTTCCTATTAGAAAAGAGACCAGAGAAATTTGAAGGGGCAGAAGAGTGTCTAAGAACACAAGAAGGAAAAACTACAGACCCACACATAAGTTTATGCCAAAATTCAAATATAAATCAGATCACTGTTACCAGATTAAATATTGAGAAATGTCCGAAAATAGCTAATCCAAGATCCAAACCAGTAATCAGATAGCCATTATTACTGATTATGTATTTTATTTTTCAGCTACTGCTTTGGGGGAAGAGAAAAAGAAAACCTAAATGAAAGCCCAGTAAAAATCATGATTTGAACAGGGAAACCCTAAGGAATCCACGAATTTCCAAAGAGAGAAGAAGCTTTCTTAAACAGTCATTAGAAAGACTATTTACTAGCAGTGATTACTGCGGTGACTAGATGCCACTTTGGTGCCCATTAACAAACTTCTATATTAAAAAAATATGGCATTGGCCTAAAGTATTTCATCTTACCAAAATGACAAGAGGTTTTACATGTCCTTTGTTTATGGAACACAGACCTGAGACTATTAAAGAAGAAAGTGGTGAACTTGTTATATAACTATGAAGGCAGGTCTATATAACTCAGTATGGCCAACTTAATAATTCATTTAGATTATATATTTCATGCATTTAGAGGTATATGAATCTACCAAGGGAGTCTAAGAGAAACTAGCTTGGTCACATTTAAGTACAATTGTTTCATCACATCCAGACATACTGCAAAATATCTGATTAAGAAATTATCTGAATATAGCTAAGGCAAAGCCATAACACATAAATATACACACACAGCAACTTTTAAAATATGAGTTATCCAAACATACCACATCTGCAGATATATGTGATATTATTTTAAAATACTGTCTATTAATTTTTAAATGATAACTCTCAATGGCTCAATTGCTGTAAAAATATTAATTTCACGTATTTTTAATCTCAAGTGCCAAGATTGTGAATTAAGTGATAAATAAACGTAATGTTCTAATAAGGAAACACAGCATTTTCCAAATTAATGTTCAGATTTTAGTAAATTAACTTTTTCTCATAAATGTCTACACATATACTGGTAAATTCAGTTCCTTAAATCATTGACATATTGTGCCTGCTTTCGTATTATGGATAAGTATGACAATTTGTGCATTATTAACAAAGCTCAATTTCCCATTGCTGAGAACACATACTGCTGTTTTGAAATAAAAATACTCTTCTAGATAATTTCTGGTCAAAATATCACCTATATCAACTACCCTATATCAGGTACATAACCACACTTCCTACAATAAGTTCAACTCCTGGGAAATAAAATACAGAGAAGATGACTTTCTTATTGAAATTCATTCATCACAAGGAGAGTTATTCAACCCTTTCCACCCCAGTAAACATTCATACAACTTAAAGGTCTCTACCATGTGACTTTAAATTAGGGGGTAAAAGGACCTAAGTATTATTTCATCGCTATCTTTGTAAATTCATATAGATTCTCTTAACCCACACTAAGTTCAGACAAATTAACTGTACAACAAAAGACTTGTATGCTTTAGAACCTGGATTTGACCATGCATTTATACTTTAATGCTCTTATTTAGGAATCCAGGAGAATGATGGGCATTTTTTACTGAGTTTATGGTTTGTTGTATTTTTTAGATCCCATTCAAAATAAGTAATATAGGTGTCAAAGGCATAAATGTACTATTTATAGTTATATTTAACTGAATTTTTCACTATATGTTTCACATGTGAGTATAAAACATTTTTCCATAGACTCTCTACTTCTTGACCTTTGTTTCCTTCAAGGTGGAAGTTTTAACACCTATAAAGCATTTCTATGAAGAATTGCTTTCAATCATATTTAAACTAGGAAATATTTTAATCAGTATATCAATAAGATAAAATGCTAGACCTACCTAAAGCTTATGAAAGACAGACAGCAAGACAGAAACTTTGATTACACATAGGTAAACATGATCAGTGTTATGATCACAAAGCAGTCAAAATGACGAGACTAATGTGAAGATATCAAAAAGATGAGAGGAATGTTTGCCACTGAGTAGAACCTCCCTCAACTTAGGAACGAAATCAAAAAATCAATTTATTTTATTCTGCATGACAGAGAACACAGCACTAATTAATGTATACCCAAAGTGACAAAGCTTTAAAACATATTTTCAATGGGCTTCCCTTATTTTAGTCCGTGAAAAATATTATCACAGAAAATGTATAATCCTTGAACTCTAATTAAAGTGTTGCATGCATATCAGGTATTCAGATATATACTGAATGAACAAATAAGCTTCATAACAGTTATAGTACAGATTATGAAGCTAAAGTCTTAAAAACGTGGAATGTTTATGTCTTGAGAAATATTCCATTTGCATTTTCTGAAGAAAACAATTCAAGAGAACTCATGAAATATTTACCAAAATTTTAGCTTTTGATAAATATATGACCTAAAATGTGCATTGCTTTGGTTAGTTGAAGAGTAAACAACAAAGGAAAAAATAAACATTAGCTCTAGGTAGAGAGAAGAGTGAAAATCAAAAGGATAATCTTCTTTATATTAATTTCTACTTACACACACAGAACACCAAATGAGTCAGTGATACTAACAAACAACAAAGGAAAAAATAAACATTAGCTCTAGGTAGAGAGAAGAGCGAAAATCAAAAGGATAATCTTCTTTATATTAATTTCTACTTACACACACAGAACACCAAATGAGTCAGTGATACTAACAAATTCTCATTAAAAATACCACATGATTATTCATATATTGTTATCTGTACTTTGCATTCAGATTTAGTTATATAGATTTACTCGTGTATTTGCCTTTAGGTGCTTGAAAAAATAACACTGAAAAAACACCCTGCATTTCCTGAAGCATTTTACCACAAACAATAATTTGAGTGCACAAATGAGGAGAAATTCATCAGAATTTCAAAGTAAAACCCCACGCATCACCTAATTCTATTGAAAACGACGCTCATGGCAAATTTCACTTATCACTTGAAACATATTTCTGCCCTTGGATACCAGAAGCAAATTAAAAAACATGCTGTTGCTCTGCTCTGGCAGAGCTGCAATGCGTTATATTTAAATAGTTCAGCATTCAGATTTAGCTTGCTTAAAGTACAATATAGAATCAATACAGTGGTAGAATTCTGGGAAAAATGAATTCGTAATTGTCACTGGCATAACTGTACTGAAATAGGATTAATAGGCTACTGATATAATTGCATAATATAATTTTGTCAAAGAAGAACTATCTTTTTACTCATCAACATCTTAAATTGAAAATGTCTGATATGGATTGGATATGGATGTGTGTGTGTGTGCACAAAGAAATTTTATGGACTCTAAATATGAAAAGCTTCCTTTACAGAATGGAAAATTTATACCATTTCAAATCCATATTTTCTTACAAAACAAATTCAAACATGAAAGAGATTTTTGGAATCTAATTAGGAAGCAAATGAAGGAAAATATTCCATTAAAATACTAATGTTTTTCCTGTTAACAAATCTTTTCAATAGACACTACTTTCAAATCTTTTCAAACTCACAAGAAGAGATTTGATTGATAGAGTTGTACAATTACAATTATGAGGCAGTTTATGTAATTGCAACCACACAAAATAATCTTTAACTTAACAAAATGGTCTATTTTAAAATATTACCAAAATAGCAACATACAACAGACATATTGCTTTGCTGTAAATTTAGTTAAAGCTTTTAACTAGACTATAGCTTTTTCTATCAAAAGATAAATTATCATCTCACTATATATTATAGTGGAAAACTTACAAATTGCAATCAATTGTTAGTAAGTTTACTCCTCAATTACCACTGAATTACCTCAAAGCCTTCTAAGTCTTATTTATAATAATATATGTATCTCACTGGAAATTATGAACAGTTTTGAAATATGTAGTAAAAGTATACAAATATATACATTTTTGTTATTTTCTAGTCTACATGAGTACTTATTGAGGCAGAAATGTGAAATTTTGAAGATCCTTGGTTTTTGTTTTTTTGTTTTGTTATTAGAAACTAGTCAATACTAAGCTCATTTTATTGATGTCAATTAATTGTCACTACTTACAGATTTGGTAGTAGCAGAAATATACTGGCCAACCATCTCACGCTTGATGGTAAAGTCTTTATTTCGCAAAGGAGCTTTCCGTTCTTCATTAAGGTTCATATCCTCCTGTTAGAAAGAACACATACCGTGAGCACTGATAAATTTCTGCGTTAGAGTTTCTAAAGTGTTTAACATTAATATTCTCTATATCTTAAAATTAAGCCTCTGAGTGGCACAAACAGTGAATGCGCTTGGCTGTTAATCAAAAGGTTGGAAGTTTAAGTTCATCTAGGCACTGCAGAAGAAAAGGCTGGTGATGTAATTCTGAAAAATCAGCCATTGAGAACCCTATAGAATGCAGTTCTCTGATACCCATGGGGATGCCATATATCAGAGTCAATTCCAAAGTAACTAATGATGGTGAGAAAAAAAAATCGGAGATGAGCCATTGAGGGTGCAGTGTAGCCTTGATAAAACATAAAACTTTCCTCTAGTTCTTAAATGCTTCCTCTTCTCCCCCCCCCCACCCCCCGCTATTGTGATCCCAATTCTACCTTACAAACCTGGCTAGACCAGAGGATGTACACTGTAAACACAGGGAATCCAGGGCAGATGAACCCCTCAGGACCAGTGATGAGAGGGTGATATCGGAGGGTGGAGGGATGGTGGGGCAGAAAGGGGGAACCGATTACAAGGATCTACATATACCCTCCTCCCTGGGGATAGACAACAGAAAAGTGGGTGAAGGGAGATGACAGGCAGTATAAGATATGATGATATAATGATAATTTATAAATGAGCAAGGGTTCATGAGGGATGGGGGAACGGGAGGGAGGGAAAAAATGAGCACCTGATACCAAGGGCTCAAGTGGAACGAAAATGTTTTGAGAATGATGAGGGCAACAAATGTACAAAAGTGCTTAACACAATCAATGTATATATGGATTGTGATAAGAGTTGTACAAGTCCCCAATACAATGATTTAAAAAAAAATCTCTTAGCTGTCTAAGTAGAATTCTGACTCACTGGAATCCTGTAGCAGAACTGTCCCATAGAGTTGCTGTGGCTGCAAATCTTTTTTTTTTTTTTCATGATTAAAGGGTTTATTTTATTTTTTTAATCATTTTATTAGGAGTTAATATAACGCTTATCACAATACATACATACATCAATTGTGTAAAGCACATTTGTACATTTGTTGCCCTCATCATTCTCAAAACATTTGCTTGCCAATTAAACGCCTGGCATCGTCCTAATTTTTCCACCTCCCTCCCCGCTCCCCCTTCCCTCATGAACCCTTGATAATTTATAAATTATTGTTTTGTCACATCTTACACTGTTGTCCGACATCTTCCTTCATCCACTTTTCTGTTGTCCGACCCAGGGAGGAGGTTATATGTAGATCCTTGTAATCGGTTCCCCCTTTCCATCCCACCCTCCCTCCACCCTCCCTGTATCGCCACTCACCACTGGTCCTAAAGGGATCATGCATCCTGGATTCCCTGTGTTTCCAGTTCCTATCTGTACCAGTGTACATCCTCTGATCTAGCCAGATTTGTAAGGTAGAATTGGGATCATGATTGGGGGGTGGGGTGGGCTAGGAAGCATTTAGGAACTAGAGGAAAGTTGTATGTTTCATCATTGCTACACTGCACGCTGACTGGCTCATCTCCTCCCCGTGACCCTTCCATAAGGGGATGTCCAATTGGCTACAGATGGACTTTGGGTCTCCACTCCACACTCCCCCTCATTCACAATGATATGACTTTTTGTTCTGATGATTCCTGATACCTAATCCCTTCGACACCTCGTGATCACACAGGCTGGTGTGCTTCTTCCATGTGGGCTTTGTTGCTTCTGAGCTAGATAGCCGCTTCAATCCTTTACGACCCCAGAGGCTGTATCTTTTGATAGCCGGGCACCATTAGCTTTCTTCACCACATTTGCTTATGCACTCACCTGTCTGTCTTCAGCGATCATATTGGGGAGGTGAGCACACAATGATGTGATTTCTTGTTCTTTGATGCCTGATAACTAATCCCTTCAGCACCTTGTGATCACACAGACTGGTGTGCTTTTTCCATGTGGGCTTTGTTGCTTCTGAGCTAGATAGCCACTTGTTTACCTTCAAGCCTTTAAGACCCCAGATGCTATATCTTTTGATACCCGGGCACCATAAGCTTTCTTCACCACATTTGCTTATGCACCCACTTTGTCTTCAGCAATTGTGTCGGGAAGGTGAGCATCATGGAATGCCAGTTAAATAGAACAAAGTATTCTTGCATTGAGGGAGTACTTGAGTGGAGGTCCAATGTCCATCTGCTACCTTAATACGAAACCTATAAATATATGCACATAGCGGAGTGGAGAGCCAAAGGCCATTAGTAGGCCACTGGAGATCCCCTTGCAGAGGGGTCTCGGGGAGGAGATGAGCCAGTCAGGGTGTGATGAAACAACGATGAGAAATACAACTTTCCTCTAATTCCTAAATGTTTCCTCCCCGCTCCTGCTACCATGACTCAAATTCAACCTTGCAAGTCTGGCTAGACCAGAGGATGTATACTTGTACAGGTGGGAGCTGAAAATACAGGGAAACCAGGGCGGATGAGCCCTAGGGGACCAGTGGTGTGAGTGGCGAAACAGGGAGGGTAAAGGGAGAATGGGTAGGAAGGAGGGAACCGATTACAGGGAACTATATGTGACCTCCTCCCTGGGGGACAGACAACCGAAAAGTGGGTGAAGGGAGACGTCGGACAGGGCAAGATATGACAAAATACCAATTCATAAACTATCAAGGGCTGATGAGGGAGGGGGGAGCGGGGAGGGAGGGGGAAAATGAGGACCTAATGTCAGGGGTTTAAGTGGAGAGAAAATGTTTTGAGAATGATGTACAAATGCGCTTTACAGTTGTAAAGCCTCCCCCTCTCCCATGTCCCCCCGGAACTGTCAGTCCCTTTGTTTACTCCTCCAGATTGGCTATAAATCTTATGAAAGCAGAATACTCAATTCATGTGCCATGAACAGATAAGCTGGGGGGTTAGAGCTGCCATTCCTTTCGTTTCCAATCACTTCAACCATCAGGGGTCCTTCTTTGTACCATAACTTTATATAAATGCAACCATAAATCCATGGTCTATACATCTATTTAGTCAACTGGGTATTCAGCAGAAAAAATATTGTTTAACTATTCCAAAGGATGAATCAACAGTTATTAATATAGATATGCATCCTATATTCTTAGCTAAATTACTTATTTATCTGGAAACAAAACAAAACATTAACTCTTTAACTACTTGATATATGCTACCTAAAAACTATGATTATCCAGAAAAGTAAATACGGCTCACAAATTAACAGGGACATTTATAACTACAAAGTGTCACTGAAGAGTTGTTGAATTTAAAAAGGAAAAAGGAAATCACAAAATATAGTGAGTAATATTAATAACAAAAATTATTGATGAGAGAGAAAAACAGTTACAAGGGCACATTTTTTTAGCTACAGTAAGTTCAAATTTGAAGGGATTAATTTTCCTTTATTTTGTAATATAGACACATACACATGATTTTTTCCTTAGGAAAAAAATTCTACATGCAGAAACTCATGCTAAATCTTGCAATATATGAAAATAAACTTAAGGAGTCATAAAACCAAGCTAAAAATAATTTTGTTTCAAAGTCCAAAAATCAAGTAAAACGGCATTTTATAGAACAGGTGAAAATGTTTATAAATCATACCTGATAAGGAATGTGTATGCAGGAATATGAGAAAGCTACAAAAAGTTTAAGGGGGAAATTCCATTATCTTTTCAACCTATTTTCAACTTATTTTTTGAAACCTCTTTATACTTAAAAAAAACTCCTCCAATTCAACAATAAAAAGACAACCGAATTTTTTAAATAGACAAAAAACTTAAATAATTTCTCCCAAAAATATATACTTATGGTCAACAGGCACATTACGTTTAATCATTAGAAACTGAAGCCAAACCCATCATTCCTAATAGTGAATTCTCACGCACAAGCCCTTATAAAGGAAAGTAGATCTGCCCCCATATGGTTTCCACATCTGTATTATGTGTGGAAGCAGAGAGCTATGTTTACTCTTGTGGAGTGGCTGGTTAAGTTTGAACAGTCAATTTCAGTTAGTAGCCAAGTACTTAGCCATTGTACCACCAGGGCACAATGAGGTACAACTTAACAAAATACCCTTATGGCTAGATTTAATTCACAAATTTTGCCATGGATGTGGAAAAACTGGAACCCTAATCCATTACCAGTGGCAATCTCTTGGAAAACAGTCTGGGAGTTCCTCAGAACTTAAACACAAGTTACAGTGTGGCACAGCAATCCCACTCCTAGAAAGATACCTATAGGAATTGAAAGGGAGAAGGCAAGCACACTAAAGTTCACTTAAGCACTATTCACCCATGGAAAACTCAACTGCAATAGTCAATGCCTACTCATAGAGACTATGTAGGAGAGGGTAGATGGAACTATCCCTTTGAGATTCCGAGTCCGTAAAGGTTTAATAGGTGTAAAAAGTCCTGTTTTTCTTCCTTGGAGCTGCGGTGGTTTCAGACTGCTGACCTTGCGGTTGACAGCCGAAACTTTAACTGATACCCATCAGCCAAAAGTGCAACTAACCTAAATGTCCATAGACAGTTGAATAAACCAAATGTGGTATATCTGTACCATCATTCACAAACATTATTTGGCCTACTTCCCCCTTTTCAGAAAAAAATACTTGTCAATTAAAAAAAACTTTTGTACTACAGTCCATAATCCAGGATAAAGTGTAGTTAACTGCTTTTGCAGTCCCCCTGGATAATCCCACTGCACCTTAGTGGATTGGTATCACCTACTTTGGGAAACACTGATCTATACAATGGGATATTGTTTACACAGAAAAGGAATATAATACATGCTACAAGGTGGATGAATCTCAAAACATCATGCTAAATGAAAACAAGTCAGTCGCACGACTATATATTGTCTGATTCCATTTACATATTCAGAATGTCTAAATCCATAGAATCAGAAAATAGATTATCTTGGTCATGTGTTATTATTGGGAAAGATAGGGAGAGTCTGCTAACGGATATGGAGGTTCTTTTGAGGATAGTG